ATTTGGGACGGGGGGGATCTGAGAGACCCCCGAGAGTTGGGGGGACAGAGGGGACATTTGGGACAGGGGGGACCTGAGAGACCCCCGAGAGTTGGGGGGACAGAGGGGACACTTGGGACAGGGGGGACCTGAGAGACCCCCGAGAGTTGGGGGGACCTTTCAAACCCTTTGGAAGGGAGACTTGGGGGGACCCTTGGGAGTGAGAGGACAGGAGGGGACCTGAGGGACCCCCGAGAGTGACGGGGACATTGGGGGGACCCTTCAGACCCCCGACAATGAGGGGGGGACCTTACACAGCCCTAAAAGCGGGGGCTGAAGGGACTTCCAAGGGATTTTGAAGCCCCCCGACATTGAAGGGGATTTTGAAGCCCCCCGAACCTGGGGGGATTTTGCAGCCCCTCGAACCTGGGAGCCCCCCGACATTGAGGGGATTTTGAAGCCCCCCGACATTGAAGGGGATTTTGAAGCCCCCCGAACCTGGGGGGATTTTGCAGCCCCCCGAACCTGGGAGCCCCCCGACACTGAGGGGATTTTGAAGCCCCCCGATCCTGGGGGGATTTTGCAGCCCCCCGAACCTGGGAGCCCCCCGACATTGAAGGGGATTTTGCAGCCCCCCGATCCTGGGGGGATTTTGCAGCCCCCCGATCCCGGGGGGATCTTGCAGCCCCCCGATCCTGGGGGGATTTTGCAGCCCCCCGATCCTGGGGGGATCTTGCAGCCCCCCGAACCTGGGGGGATTTTGAAGCCCCCCGATCCTGGGGGGACCCGGCAGCCCCCCGATCCTGGGGGGATTTTGAAGCCCCCCGATCCCGGGGGGATTTTGCAGCCCCCCGATCCCGGGGGACACGGGGGGGTCCCCGCCCCGTCCCGTCCCGCCGGGCCCGGCTCAGCTGAGTGTCACATGAAAAGGCTTTGGGGCGCCATGTGATGGCTTTGCCCCGCGCGTGGCTCGGCCCGAGCTCCGTCACGAGACCCCCGCGTCCCCCCGGGGGTCCCCCCGGTGTCACCTCGGGGTCCCCAGGGTCGGGAGGAGCCGGCTGGGCACGCCGGGGGTGGGGGTGGTGGGCGGGGGGCTGGGGGAGCGCTGGGGGATGAGGGGAGAGGAGTCGGTGCTGGGTGAGGGGGGGACGTTGGGGACATTGGGGACACTGGGGACATTGGGGATGTGACAGAGCCCTGAGAGTGGGGGACACTGGGGACACTGGGGACACTGGGGACGCTGGGGATGTGACAGAGCCCTGAGAGTGGGGGACACTGGGGACACTGGGGGACACTGGGGACACTGGGGATGTGACAGAGCCCTGAGAGTGGGGGACACTGGGGACACTGGGGG